ACTGAGGTTAAGGTGTGTGAGGCTCAGCCGTTCTGTGAGCTGCAACTCGATCGTGTGGCTCTAAAGTGTTGAATTAGGGTCAGTTCTCTGAGTTTCTCTCTTTCTACCCATGTCAAATATAAACCATACAGTTTATTTAATGCAAGGAGCAGCTGCCCTTTGGGTGAAGCCGGTTTGGACAGTGCAGAGTGATGTTGCCCAGTACTTAAAGATGAAGAGTAAATATCATTGCAGCTGTGGGGATTACAGGAGGGATATTTAATTCAGCAAAGACAAATGAGTCAACCCAAGCCCGGGGTGGTGGAGCTGAGTTATCCTGCCCGTAGCTGCTGGGTGAAGAGGGGAAGGTAGTTAAGTTGCGTCCAGGGTTAGAGCTGTGGGACGGGCTCGTGACCGTCGAGGGGAGGACAAGTGACCAAAGTAGAAGCCTGCGCAGCTGCTGGATGGAGCAAGAGTCGGGAAAACCTCTCAGCTTGCCTAATTCTCTCTCCTTCGTCGGAGTCCATGCCTTGCTGATCAGGGAGCTTGCTTCCAAGTTGCCAAGTGCCAGGAAAACACAAGAAGGAGACAGTTTGAGTCCTACCTTGCAGTTGAGGGTGACAAACTAACCTTGTTACCTGCGGGCCCTCGGCTGTGGTGGCTGGGAGCAGCTCGGGTTTGGTGCCTCAGCTGGAAAGATGCTGATGGTGCTGAAAGTGCCGCGACGGAGGGCTGAGCCGGCAGGACAGGCTGGACTGTGGAAGGGATGTGCCGTGCAACGATGGCCTCATCAGTACGGCACAGGGCGCTGGGCGTCTGGGTGCCGTAGTGTCCCCTGAGCGGGATGTGACGCTGACGGGGGAGTTGGTGGTTCCTGGCTTGCTGTGCGTCCAGGTGGGACGATGAACAGGGCAAAGGCGTGATCGGTGCCTCTGCCAGCGCCCGGCCACGTGCCTGCTCAGCCCGAGAACCCAAAGGGCACTGTAGATGGACCAAAGCAACCTGCCCATCGCTTTTCCTGGTGCTTTGTAGCCTTTAAATTCAGTTTTCTGCGGGGACCTCAAAACTTAGACCGGTTTGCTGCCACACACTTTTGCTTGCTTCTTAATTGGAATTGCATTTGCATCTTTCCCTCTGTTTTGGGGGTGAAGGGGTGCTTGAGGACCGCCTGGGCGTATGGACCCACAAACCAGAGGCGAAAAACCTTCTAGTCCATCCTTTCTGCCCCGATGTAGGATCAAGTCTAGCAACATTGCTGCTGACAGACGTGCTTAGGCTAGATGTGTATGTGCCACCCAGTTCTGGCTGCTTAGGAAATCAGCTGGCTGCTTTCCTCTAGGTAGCTAGCGAGCGCCTGTCTCCTGTGAGCAGGGCGCGTCGGGCTCCCGGTGGGATTTCCTTTTATTTTCCTTCTGGGAGACCCAGACCACCAGGCTGAAGGGGAGTTGGAGCGATAGGATGCTGTTATTCCTCCCTGGAAAGTCTCTTTTTCTTTGCACTATGGCTGGATTGGGGAATGAGGTCCCTGCGCTCACCGAAACGGTCACGGTTCTCGGGACGCGGTGCACCCATCAAGCTCTTTCGGTGGAGGCAGGAGGCTCCGGCAGATACCGGGGCTGCCCGATGCATCCCTAAACCTCTCGCAGAAAGCAGGGAGGGAAGACGAAGGGCTCGTGCCGCTCCGTGCATGCCATGGCTCTGCAGTATCCCACCCACCTCCCGTCGTCTGTTCTGGTTTCCCTTCTCCCTCCGCCCCCCCGTTGCTATTTATCCCAAATGCCGTTTTTATCTCTCTTCATGCTCTGACTATACATTCAAGCTTCTGGGCAAGATGCTGGTAATTTCCATACAGCTTATAACATAAAAAGAAACACTCAAAAGCTTCCAGAAATGCATCAGACCTGCAGCCCTGGGAAGCGCAGCAGCGTCCCCGATGGCACGGCCTGCTGCTAAGTTTAGAGGGAAAAAAAAAAAAAAATCTTTCTAACGTGGTCGTTTTGACAGGGAAAATGCTGGAAATGAATTAAGTGAAGGATTTTTAGGCAGCGAAGAACGTCCTTCTGGTTCGGTATCGCTCTGAAGCCTGGTGGTATAGTATGAAATGAGGTGGTATAGTATGAAATGAGCTCTTTGAGCTCAGTATTTTAGTGCCTAGCTTTTGATTCGGTACATATTCATTACTTTTAAGTAATGCCAGGCATTCACTGCTCCTCGCTCCTAATTTGCAGTTCAGACCCCACGTCCCTGAAGAGGGACGCCTGTGAATACTCCGCATTTTGCAGAGCCTTTCCCAGCAGCTCCCTTTTTCCCCTGCATTGTAATTTTTGTTGAGAGGTGGGTCTGCGCCGGACCCCCCGCCTTCCCAGCCACGCAGCCCGACTTGCTCTCCGTGGTGGCATCTAGCCCCGCAATTTCTCCTATGCAGAACCGAGCAACGCACATTCCTCTTTCAAACGTACGCGTCTATTCTCGTTAGCCTTGCAATTCACGGATGCAAAGCCGAAAGCCCCAGACAGATTTTTTTTTTTTTTTTTTTTCCTCCTCCTTTCGAAGAGCTCATGACCCATCAGTTCCCATTATCCTCAAGGCCGCAGCTCTTTTGAAAATATACCACATGTTCGGCTGCCTAAATGGGCCTTTGTGAAAACCTGTGCTCAGCCTCTCCCGTCGCAGGCTGGGGTGTCACGAACGTTTTGGGAGCGAAGCCGCTGCGGGCAGCCCCCCGCCGCACCCTTCTGCATCTCTGAAGCCGCTCCAGCTGGCAAGCGAGGTGCCCCTGTGTAAGCACAGCACCCGGTAAATATTGCCAGCTAATGCTTTGCTTCGGGAGGGGAAAAAAGCAAAATGAGATTAATTGAGGTGTCTAGAGGGCTTGTGTGCCATTCCCAGGGAAACACAGATTCAGTGGGAAAATGACACAGAGCTGTACGGTGAGAGGGGACGGGAAGACGAAGCTTGCGTTTCACGAAAGCAAAAAAAGACGTGGGTGAATTTGGAGCTGCCTCCGCAAAGGCGTTGTGTTACAGGGCTGGCAGACGTCTCACCTGCGCCCAGCTCCGGTAACGCTGCGCTGGGAATTCGATCGGTCCTCGAGCTCGGCGGGGCATTGGGAGTTCACGGGAGGAGCTGGGCTGTGTGGAGCAACTGGTGTGCCGCTGGCTTGAGTGTCGTGTCTTTCCTTTCCTCTTCCTTGTCCCGCTCCAGGTCTAGGTAGCAGGATTTGACACCAGGCTGTGGTTCACAGGACGCTGGCAGGGTTTTTAATCTGTGGTCTGGGAAGTGTGAGTAAAGAAAGCAAGACTCTTATCAGGAGGCTTTATTTTTGGACAGAGATCCCACAAATCATGGGTTGGAAAATCACTCCCGTGGGTTTTGGGAGCGCTGCAGCAGGACGGGCTGGGGAGGGAGGATCTGAGGGTGCTTTTTGATTTTTGGCAATGTTTTGTCCTAAATTTAAGCAGATCCACAGCTCTGGGACAAAACGAGGGCTCTCACTATGAAAGTAGAAAATTTTTCTCCTCTAAAGAAATCTTTTCCAACTGATCCTAAAGGCTCCGGCTGCCTCCGCGGTTCCCTGCGAGCAGCTCTTCCGCTCCCCGGTGCCGAACCCAGGATCGGCGCGTGGTCGTGCAGCTGGATGTGCCCTTATCTCAGGTGAAGGCTGGCAAGGATGCTCTCCTTTTGGGCAGCAGTCCTTTTGTTTCTTCTGGTGGGTAAATAGCTGGCAGACGGGGCTTGCTGCGCCGATGTAGTTGGGAGGACGGAACCTCTCTTCCCTTTCCCTGCTAGTGATATTCCCTGTGTCCCTGTTTGTCCCTGGGCAGGGGTGTCCCTGCTCGGTAACGCCGAGGGGGGCGAGGAAGTGCAGGGGGAGATCTGAGTTTTTCTCCTTTGGCTGGTTTTCAGGAGGGCTGGAGGTGGGGAGGCTGGAGAGCGGCTTCTCCCCACCCTTTACACAGAACTCGCACTTCTGTAGCACCGGAGGAGCGTGGGCTGAGGAGTTCAGAGGAGCCACGGGAGGTTTTTTCTCCTCCTTATGGATAGGGAGGTGATGGGGGGGTGCCCGTAGGGCCCTGACTTCAGGGGACTGCTGCAAGGTGGACCCAGAGGTGCCTCTTCTCCATATCCATGCTCTGGCTGTGCACGTCTGTCTGTCCAGCTGCCCCAGCCTGGCTTCTTATTATCCTCCCCTTGCAGCGGATCCTGCTTTAATGGCCCTAGCAGCATATTCCAGAGCAGGGAAGCTTCTGGATTATCCAGTTCCCTCTCTCCCATCCTTAAAAGCTTTGCAGCTGCAGAGCAAGCCCATCCACCTCCGTCTTGCTTTACTGGTGACCAGCACCTTGCTACTGGGCTGGCAGGGCAGGCTTGGAGGGAGCCGGCAGTGGGAAAGGTGCACGTTTGAGCCTTTTGGATTGGGATTTTGTGGCCTTGGGAGGAGCTGCTTTTTATCCAGGTGATGTGCCAGGGAAAGCAGCCCTGGGGCTGTGTGTTCCCTTCTCTGCAGCCCCAATCGTTCACCGGGTAAAGGAATGGTGTGCCCGGTGGGAGGACAGAGCAGCGAGCAGAGGTGGTATCGGTGATGAAGAGCTGGTGAGCCTGGCTTATGCATGGAGTCCCCGTTTATGAAAATGGCTTGGGGAGAAAGGGGGGGGAAAAAAGTAAAAAATATTTATGCTCTGTCTCTGATAATTGCAGAGCATCTCTGTAAGTTCCCTGCGAGAGCCGACTTCCCCGCGGTGCGAGCGGCAGCAAATCCAGCTCCCCGTCGGAGCTGTGTTACCAGCAGCTCGTCAGCTTTCTGACACCGGTTTAATTGAAGTGACTTGCTTTCCGTCACCGGGGCTGGGAGCTGGCCTTGTCCTGGTGCTTTGCAGCAGGCTTGTAAATGGCTCTTTTCTTAAATGTCATTATCTGGACAGGCTTGAGGCTGTAGGTGTGTTGGTTTTTTTTAATTTCTTTTTCTTCGGTCAGCCACTAACCTTGCGTGATCTTGATAAAGGTGTTTTTCTGTTCCGCAGTTGTCAATTGAGGTTAGTAATATCTGCTGCAACCGCCAGGCTTTGAAATCCACTTAATGAAACCGAAACGCTGGTCTTCCAGAGCGCCTTTACAGGGACGTGGAGCTCAGGAGTACAACCTTTTGAGCTTTGTCTTTCCTGAAATCGCAAGCCAAGTGCTTGGAGGCTAAAATCAGTTTCTTCTGTCTTTACAGGAGTACACTTGCCCAAGATGTGAATCTGGCTTTATCGAAGAAGTCACAGATGACTCCAGGTAACGTACACATCGATGCACCGCTTGTTTTACCGCACGCTTACGTTTCTTCTGGGTTTGTAAGGTACCTGGTGTAAAGCCTCTGAAAACTGTGGACAACGAGGATAAAATAAGGAATGCGAAAGAAAAGCTTATATATTAGTGTGAATTTGGAATTAATACTGGATGAGACTGGAAATACGAGTGGCCATCGGTCTCATGCTAGCACCGCGTGGTTTGGGGAAGACTTCCAAGAAGATGGGAGTTGTGAATTAAGGCTGTTCAAGGTCCCGTGAACAAATGCGCTTACAGGTTTTTGACGCCTGTTTCTTCGGTCTATTAGAGCAAAAAGCATTATTTTTTTAGGAAGCAAGCTTGAATCTCAGTGACTCACAGTACCTTTCTTTTTTCCTCTGTTGCCCCCAGGTCAGTCTCCTGACCACCTCTCCAATCTCACAGCTCAAGCCAAGAGAGAAAGAAATACCTTTTCTCTCTAGGAGCACCGACTTGGGCACTGGTCACCCAGCAGAACACGGTGCCGGCAAATTCGGGATCCCAAATGATGCCTGTTCAGCACTTAACTATGTTCGGTCTTGAGTGATTGCTGAGAAAACTGCTTTATTTGGGTTGGGGGTAGGCGAGATGAAAGGGCAGCAGTGATTACGTGAACCTTTGCTATCTGAGACTTGCCACAGCATCTGGGGCCGGGTGTCACCGGGGAGGTGACTTAATGTCACACTACGTCCTCATCTTAAATATAGGTGTATATCTGTCGCTTAAGGCAAGACTGGAGGGGTCCTCTGGGGCACTTAGCACACGATCCTGTTTGCAGAATGACGATGCTCCATCTCAAATGCCTCCTCTTAGGAGGCTCTTCCGGAGTCTGGATAGTTCGAAACCAGTTTTTTTCCCACGGTCAGGTTGTGCATAGTCTGGTGGCACATAAACAAGCCTTTTAATTTTAATAGTCCTTTTCTGTCCCTAGGAATGATTCCGCTGTGTTCACACAGACAGGCTCTGTTTGCTCATCCCTTTCTCTCTCAGACCACACGGGGACTGTCTTGCTCACACGAGCTCCCGTCTGTATTTAACCCCGGAAGGGGAGCTGATTTCTGGAGGAGTGACCTGCTCTCACTCGCCTGTTTTTCTTTAGTTTTCTAGATGGCAGTGGCATAGACGACAGCCCATCCACACAATTTGCAGAGGTGAGTTTTGCTGTCTTGCTTGTTTTTTTTTAACTGTAGCCGTGAAGAGGTTTTCGATCTTGGCTCCGGGTGCAGTATGTGAAGGCATCTTCGCTTACCGCCCTGCAAAAAGGACAGCTGCTCTTCCTAAGAGTTTTCAAGAACTTGGCAAATTTTGAGGAGAGTGTTGACATTGCTGGGGTTGAGATCTGCCAGAGATTTGCTCACTGGGCAGGGCAGGAAGAGAAGGATGCTAGAAAGACACCCTGGCCCTTGGTGCTGGCAGATGCTGGGACGTGTGTCCGTGATGCTCAGCCAGCCGGGGAAGGTGTTGCCTGACTGCCCTTTCCTCCCTGCGGATTGCTGCTCTGAGTCTTACCAGAACTGCAACTGTCTAGAAAGTCCGAACTCGTAACAGAATCCCTGTCTCATAATTCAGTTGCGTGGATCTCGGAGCAGGGGGTGTTGGGCAGCGAGGGCTGGCAGCGTCTTTTCTTACCCCATTACCTAAAGTCTCAAACAGCCGGGCACGTGCCGACAGCCTGAGTCGAGCTCTGCGAATACACACCCTGAGTTCGTGCTGTGGCCTCTCCTGAGTCACCCTGGGCTCGTGGCTGCGGCGGCAGCTCCTCTTCCAGACCCTGGGGAAGGAAGGGCGGCTTTAGGCTCTGATCGCAGGCTCCGTTCCTCAGGGCTCTTGTTTCCCTTCAGGAGTTCAGCTGAGCTGTGTAAAACAGATGGAAATAAAATTTCTGTGCATCTCCTCTGCCAGCAGACCTTGCTCAGACATCAGGTTATTTGTTTGCTCAGTTATTGAGGAGTTGTAACTGTTCCTCGGTCCTGCCAGGAGAGCTCCCCGATGTCTTGAGTCGCAGCTCGTCGGCCAGCGTTATCCCTGGCTGGATTTGAGGGTCTGTGTTGCTGCTGAGCACTCTTTCGCCTGCTGCAGCAAAGCCACTCGGTTCAGTGCCAGAAACAGGGTCATCAAATAGCTGAAATTCCTCTACAGCTTTGTGTTTTGGATCTGGATCCCTTCTGTTTGCTTCCCGGCGTACGGCTCGTTTGCCTCTCCTCCCTTTCTTCAGCTGGATCCATTTGTCTCCTGCACAAAACTGTTGCCTTTATATTGCTCCTCCCCAGCGCCGTATCCCAGAAATGCCCGTGTTTCAGCGAGATAAAGTGATCTCGTCTTATAGCCCACGTGTCGGTTTACAAAGAGCTTTGGGATGCCTCTGCATGAAAGCCGCTGTGTAAATTTAAATGGCTTTTAGGATTAATAATAAATGAAAGTCTTCTCTCAGCAGTGTGGCTGCAGGCAAGCAGAGCTCTATCTTGATCATAACCAGCAGGAGAACAAGCAAAACTCTGTCTGCGGGGTATTAATTCAGAGAACAGGTCATAAACTTGACTTCTCCCTTTCCTCCAATACTGGATTGAACCGGGCAATGTAAGAGACTTGTCAAGTGAGCTAATTTGGTGTGAAATGGAAATTAAGCCGCTCTGATCATGTCATAATGCATGATGAGGGTCTAGTACGAATAAGAAAAGAACAGCCCTCGTGTTACGCCCTGTAGCATTTAATTCCTGCAGTAAATCCGAGGGCACTGCTCCTTCGAATATCACTTTTGCAGCGCGGAGCCTGGCCCGGGCGTATCGAGCGGGAGCAGCAGCTTGCTCCCACATGGCACACGGAGGGTTTATTGTCTGACACTCCTTGTTTTGTTGTGTCCTACACATTTATTTTTTTTTCTCCATAAACCCACATCGTAAATCTTCAGTGCCCTCCTCAGCTGTTCCTTTAATCCATGGGTGATCTGAATCGCAGAGGGAATAAAACCAAATGGGTTTTGCAGGTGAGGGTGGCCGAGGAGGCTCTTGGCTCCGAGCTGTGGATGGGGATGCCTTGCTCTGGGTTCCTGGCTGTTCTCGTGCACCCCCCGGTTTCTCTGCAGGCTGGCAGCCCGCAGCGGGGAGTGCGGCCAGGAGCTCTGCAGAGATCCATTGGTGACCCCCAGCAGCTCTTGATTTGTGTCTCTGCTCGCCCTGGGACAGGCTCCGGGCTGGTAGTTTGACTTGGTCAAGGAGCAGGTGGGTTTTTGCACCACCAGGAGCAGGTAGATCTGCTATAGAGCCAGGAGATGGCTTTACGTGTGCGGATGGACCCCACAAAAAACAGCGTTACATGTGCAAGACCTTTCATTATCGGCCATTTCATGCCGCTCTGTTCTGCCGGGTCGGGTATGCTGGACCGGAGGACGTGACCAGAGACACAAACCCTCCTTCTGGGGGCCGTGCTTCGGTTCTTTTGGCCGCATCCATTTGCCACCTGTGGCTGTGAGGACCCAGAGCACTCAATGAGCCCGTGGATGTGGGGCCTGGGTGTCCAGCGTTCTCTCTCCTCAGATCCCGGCCCTTGGAGAGAGAGACCAACCCTCGCAGTGCGCTGGGGTGGCTTAACAAAATATATGTTGTTGGGATCTGTACGTAGCAGGAAAGAGCTGACATGTTGGTCTTCCCGCGGGTGGTACATCTGATTAGTTTGGGCTATAATTAAGCGTTTTTGCCAGACTTTTCTCTGGGAGCCATGGTAACCATATGAATTTGCTCAATTGCTTCTGTCGAGGTGGACTTCCCTGCCTCCGTGTCAGCAGCGGAGTCACCGGGATTAGTGACGGAGCTGTGTGTGGTTTGTGTCTCCCCTTTTCTGCCCCCAGCTTTGGGACCATTTGGACCACACAATGTTCTTTCCTGACTTCAGACCCTTTCTGAGTAGCAGCTCACTGGATCAAGACAGCAGGGACAACGAGAGGGGCCACCAAGCCCACGCCGACCTCTGGGGACCAAGCCGACCCCCGCGATTGCCCATGACGCGGAGGTACAGATCCCGGGGCAGCTCGCGCCCTGACAGGTCTCCTGCTATCGAAGGGTAAGTGCCTGAATTACGCCCTGGAAGTGTCTCCTTCCCCCATCAGTGGAAAAAATGTGAGATCTTGGGGAGAAACCTGATGAAATGGGATCCTGGCACTTACGGTAGGTGACCCTTGGCCCCAGAAAACGCAGGTTTTCACATCAGATGCTCTACCCTTTGTCCCCCTCGGCAGGAACCGAAGCTGTGTGGTGGGAAAGGTGGGTTTTGCCTGTAACGGTGCCAACGCTCACCACAGGGAAACGAGTCAGTGCTTGGGAAACTCAGTCATTTCCTCTCCCTCTCCCAGCCCTCCCACACTCTGATGAGTTAGCACCCCTTGTTCCTTCGTGCCGTGCCTCTGTCTCAGGGCTCGCCCTTCTGCAGAGGGATTTACCTAGGTGTGAGTCTTGCAACAACATGGCTACGATCGATCGGAGCAGTATTTCGTGTTTTGCTGCCCATTCTTGCTAAACTGTTGCTGCTTCCGTGTATTTGTTTGCTCAACTTGTTCTTTTTTTTTTCTCTTTCAATTCCTCCCTCTTTAGAATAATACAGCAGATCTTTGCAGGGTTTTTTGCAAACTCAGCGATTCCTGGCTCACAACACCCTTTTTCCTGGTGAGTAGCTAGCATGGTTTAGACCATGGCTTTGATCTCGGCTGTCCACGCCAGTAAACAGCCATGGTCTGGTGCCCGGGAGCTCCGTCTCCCCAGTGGCTTCTCTGGGCAGATCATGCAAACCTCAGGGCTGGTTTGGGGTGAGTGAAATGGCTTCCTTGACTCTCTGCTCCCATCTGCAGGAGTGGGATGCTGCACTCGAATCCTGGGGACTATGCGTGGGGACAGAGCGGCCTTGATGCTATTGTCACCCAGGTAAGACCCTCGTATGTGCCCGGGTGGAGAAAGTCCCAAGCTGGCTGGCCTGGGCATTGATCTGCGCCTGTAAATTTTTGTGCTGCTCTCTGGTCAGTCCCACTGCTGGAGACGAGTCCTGGGTTTCGGCTGAGGACTCGGAACAGACCATCGGTGTCTGGCTTGGTGGCTGCTTGTGCCCTGCATCTTCAGAGGGTCTAGGAGCAGGGGTCGGACCTTATTCCTGTGGAAATACAGTATCTTAGTTCACCTCTTTGTCAGCTCACGTGTGGTGCAAGGCTTGCAGGTGCCTTCCAACAGGCTCAGCAGAGGCCAACGATTAAAATCTCCAGCGTCAGCCCCGGATCTCTCACCAAATGCAGCACTTTGCAGCTGTGAGCCATTTCCCCCTGTGGTTTGTGGAGGGATGAGCCGAGTCCGCACCCATTCCCGGGAAGCATTGTCTGGCTCCTTTGAGGATCGAGGGTGTCCAGCTTCCATCCATAAACAGTCTCTTCCAGGGTGTTGGCATCACTGGGATGGGAAGAGCAGACGGATGCTGTAATGAGAGCTAATTTGGCTGCTGTTGTCGTGCTGACACCTCCCGAAAGCGCCTGGCAAAGCCATCTGCTGCCATTCATAAGTAGCCCCCGGCTTCCCAGCCTGCATCACACGCCCGTCTCGCCCGCCTTACTCACCGCTTCCTAAAATGAGTCTGCAGCCCACATGGCTGCTCGGAGACAGCACCTTCCTCCTCCCACCCCACACCCAGCAGAGCAGAGCAAGCCCCGGCAAGCGCAGTGCAGTGGGATTGGTGTCGCAGTTCAGATTCGGGCTGGATACGCGGCTCTGCTCGGCCCTCCGCTGGGTCTGGAGCAGCAGCCCTGCCCATCCCGGGGTTTCGTGTCATCCCAGGCATCTTAGCATGGTCTTCAAAGTTAAATGAGGCTCCTACAAATGCTTCTCTGCTCTCCCTGACCGTGCTTGAACCCATTTGAGCTGATTGCCGGGTGAATCTAGGTCTTAATACAAAATTCCTATGAGTCATGAAACTGTAACGCTGGGAAAGAGGTGCTGTCAGCACCGTCACTCATGTTTAACCGACACGTGTTAAACATCAGAGACCCCAGGCAGGAGATACAGACCCACCGGAGCGAGGCTTTGGTACGGCTCCTTGGTTTGGTGGCGGAACTTGACTAAAGCAGCTTCTCTTTATAGCCCTGGGAGGTCTCCTCTTTCCTCCTAACACCCTGGTCAAGTCTTGGGAGAGGCAGAAGGTGCTCAGTCTCACTTGTTTCTGCGGTACGAGATTCTTCCTCCTCTCAAAACATCCTTACCACTCCCTTTCGGTTCAAAATCCTCCAGGAGTAGCTTAGCACCCTTTCCCATGTCCGTGGCAATGTCTCCCTTCCCACCCAAGCCCTTCCGTCTCCCGGCTGTTGATGCAAGAGAAAATGTCTGGAGGGCAACAATGTTAGAAGTGGGACTGTCAAGATTGGAGGCATGAAAGTAAGGTTTGAACACCGAAAATGTTGCTGCAGAGGAGGGAACTGTGCACTGAATATTTAAGCTAGGATGAAATGGCCCGAGTTTGCTCGTAGGGTTGGGCGACAGGAATGTTTCTGGCCTTGGCACGGTCTGTCTGGGAAGCCGGCGATGTCTGTCACTTCAGGGGCTTTAGGACCAGGTCAGAGACGTCGCCCGGGACAAGGCTGTGCTGAGCTGCTGGTGCCTGGCTGGCTGCTTTTGGGACGTAGCGCGCTCTGTGCTCCGTGTTTGCAGTGCTCTGCACGGCAAAGCCGTGTCTGTACTCCTGAGCACAGCGTGTTTTCTTCTCCACAGCTCTTGGGGCAGTTGGAAAACACAGGACCACCTCCAGCCGACAAAGAGAAGATCTCATCTCTCCCGACAGTGACAGTAACTCAGGAACAAGTTGGTAGGTGAAATCAGTCGCCATTTCCTAATGTTGCTCGTCTCCTGGTGCTTTGACGTACGCATCCTGAGCTCCCCCACTCCCTCTGCTGAGGATCAGCCTCTTTGCTGTATCCCTGTGCTTCCCTGGCTGATGCGGGAGGGTGGAAGGCAGTGCTGTTCCGTCCTCCTGAATTACTGGATCTCCTGTGGAAAACTGGAGAAACTGGAAACACTCATGTCTTCCAGCTCAGGAGGTCCAGAGCTTTGCTCCTGCTGTCATCTCTGGTGTTCAGTTCTCCCGGGACTCTCGGATCTCAGCAAAGACCTCCTTCGTTCTGCAGAGTGTTTGCGCAGTCCCTAAGCGCTGCCTTTTTGGCCTACCAAACCCCTGATGGCTTTACCTTCTTCCAAAATCTTCTGTTTGTGCTGTTGTTTATGCTCTCATTAGAGCTGGCCTTGGCGTGTTGCTTTCTTCCCTTTCAAATTGGCTCACAGCAGGGCTGTAGATGAGGCTCTGAACGTGTTACTGCTGAACTGCTCTGGAAATGTCATGTAAAACTCACAGGTTCTTGCAGTGCAGCTGGCAGCAAAGACCTATGGGCTTCTCATTACGTTTATGGTTTCGCAATTAGCTCATCCCGGGGACTTTTCTCCCTCTGTTTGCAGAACGCTGTCTCCGAAGCCTGCTCAAAGGATCCCTTTCCCTCCGAGCTGCTCTATTACTGGAAACTAAAATGCTCCATTAAGACAAACTGTTTGATTAGAAAAGCCGTTTCCACAACAGATATTTTTGTCTGGTGCTTTTTATATACCCATGTCTCTTCTTCTTGTCTGGGAAGCCAAGAAGCATCTGACTTTCCATGTTGTAATGCTCGGTCTCGCCTGTTTGAATTGACAGAGCTCGGGCCGAGCAGCCTGGCAGTCGAGAGAGGCCGGGCGCTCCGTCTCCCCGCTGTTTGTGGTTGGGACATCTGCGTTCGCGTCACGGGCTTGGTGCAGAGGAAGAGGGATCGGGTTTTTGCCGTCTCTCGTGATCGATGGCGCGCAGCAGCCTGCTGGGCTGTTGCAGAGGAGGATGTGCGATGGAAGCATCCCCTGCCGGCCTTGCAAAACTGCCCTCATTCCGGGCGAGGAAGTTTTGGCAGGACTCAGCTAAAATACCCTTAGTTTGATTTATTTTTTTCGTTGCCAGTCGTACGCAGAGAACATAAGGAATTTCTTTGCTACCTGGCTGGCCGTCCCCCGTAGGTTGTATGCGAACGTACCCTGGCTCGTAAAGCCCGGAGTTCATATTCCCGGAGAACTAAAGCTGCTGCTTCACCCTCCTTGGTCTGTGCGTCTCTTCCAGATACGGGTTTGGAGTGTCCTGTCTGCAAAGAGGACTACACAGTAGCGGAGCAGGTTCGGCAGTTACCGTGCAATCACTTCTTCCACAGCAACTGCATCGTGCCGTGGTTAGAGCTGGTAAGAGCCTCTGCCCGCGGGCGACCGCGGCTCTTCGGGCTCCGAGAGATGCCCCGTCCCCGAGCCAAGCCCTGCATGTCTGATGGGATGAAACCATCCGGGTAAAGCGGCCATCGAGTGGCATTCCCCTGACGCCCCCGCCTTTCTCTTGCAGCACGACACGTGTCCGGTGTGCAGGAAGAGCTTAAAAGGGGAAGATTCGACTCGGCAAACACAAAACCCCGAGGCCTCAGCGAGTAACAGCTTTAGCAGTGAAAGCCAACTACACGATCGATGGACTTTCTGACGCTCGAGGGCTTCCTTGGGGGGCTCTGGCCGGAGTATCGTTACTACAGATGTACATTGTATTATAATTCAGACAAAACAAAACAAAAAAAAAGAGTAGCAGGAAATATAGGGTAGGGGAGGGAACCCACCCTGTGGTATTACTGCAATGAGTGCTGTCTTTTTCCTGAAACTTTAAACTAGCATCTCCGAGCGAATCGCGTCTCCATTGGAATCGCCTCTTTAGTCCTAAATTCAGAGTGTTTTGAGTGATTTGACTTGATTTTATACTTGTGAAACCTTTACTTCGAACGTGGCCCATCCGAAGGGGGGGTGAGCGGCGCAGGGAGGTTTGGGGAGACCCCGCCTGGGTCCCCAGAGATCTCATACAGCCTCCTCTGCGTCCCCCCCTCCGGCAAAGGGGTGGCAAAGGTGGGAAAGCGTCCCCGTTGCGGTGCTCCTTGGAAAGGAGGGGACGGAAGGGAGAAGGTTTTTGACTTCTCTCCTCTGACCCCTTTCCCTCCCCCTCCAACCGGGTGGGTGGAATCAAATCCAGGAGGGTTTTTTTTTCTTTTTCCCCTCTTCTCTTGAATTCAAGTGACGGTGTCTATAAAATAGTGTTCTAGGTTTTCTGCAGGGAGAGGCAGAAGTGAAGATGGAGGCATCGAAGGGTCTCTGGAGCTCGTAGCGAGGCGTGCTGGCGGAGAGGAGTGTGCTCGGGACGCGCAGGAGCCCCCCGGTTCTGGGAACAGGAATGCACCAAGCAGGATTTTTCTGTCTTGTCGTGGACTTTTTTTTGTTTGTTTGTTTGGGGTATTTTTTTCTGGCCCTTCTCCACGTGCCTGTGTCCCCAGGTCTGTCCAAACCTGTCCCCCACCCACAGTGAGTCGTTTAGGATCCTTAGCTGGCTTGTATCATATGGACCACATTAAAGGCATCCTTTAGGAAAACAGACCTAACTGTGCGTAGCCATTTTAACGGCCGATTCCTCAGTGTTTAACACACAATCTTAATTCTCCCTTAGTCCGATAACTTTAAGAGAATCTCTTTATTTTTGCGGACTTTTTTTTTTTTTTGTTTCTGTTGGTTTTGTTTTGGTTTTTTTTCCACTTCTGTAACATTTCATCCATGTTTGACTTCTTGTTTTTATCGTCCAAATAACCTCTGTGCTTAGGGCACCCACTAAACCACCACGTGGCAATGTTAAACCCCCGGCTCGGCCTGGCAGCGGGCGGGAGGGAGAGGTAGGTCGCGTCTAAACATGTTGCCGCTTCATTGCTGTAAACAGTGTACTACGTACACTCGATTTAAACTAGTGTTTTGTTTGCTATTAAGTCAAATAAAGGCCTTTATAAAGAAGACCAGATGTGGAGAAAGATTGCGGGGGCTGGAAGAGGTGGCTGAAGAGCTCGGGGGGCTCTTGGAGGACTAAGAGGGATGGAAATAACCCCGTGGGTTGGCTGTAAAGGGCTTTTCTGGGGAGAAAAATTCTTATCCCAGCGCTGGAGGGCAGCAGTTGAGCCCTAACGTGGGCTGGGGAGGGGGGACCCACAGTGGGGACGGGGTTTTGAGGCGTCGGCGTCGTCCCTTCTCGCACCGCAGCTGCGGGGGGGTCTGATGGTGCAGGACCCCGACACCCACCTCCCTGCTGGGACACAGTGCCCCCGTCCCCCCCTCGTTTCGGGGGAAGGAGACCCGTGCGCTGGGTGAGGAGGAGGTTTCTCTGCACACAGGGTGAGTTTTGGGGGGGGGCCA